CCTAAACCCCTAAACCCCAAATCCCAGACTCTAGACCCTAGGCCACTTGTGGTCGCTAGCTGTTGCTAGACCTCAAAGACTCCAAACCCTAAGCCGCACATGGCTGGCTAGTACTGAAGTAGCAAAGGCACTCAACCCTAAACTCTAACCCCTAAGCCCTAAACTTAAACTCTTAAAAAAAAATAGAACTCTAAACCCTAAGCCCTAACCTCTTAACCCTAAACTCTAAGCCCTAAGCGATAAACTCTTAACCCTAAACTCCAATCCCTAAACCCTAAACTCTACACCCGAAACCCTCCAGGACGAGAAAAGCCAGCAACAGAGCCTCATTGGGCTTCGCCAGGCGTCTGAGCCTAAGCATGGCAGATGGGTGTTGGGTAGGGTGGGTAGGGTTTAGGGCTTAGGGCTTAGGGTTTATAGGGTTTAGGGCTTAGGATTTATAGGGTTTAGGGTTTAGGGTTTCGGCTTCAGGGTTTAGGGTGTAATGTAGGGTTTAGGCTTTGGGCTTTAGGTTTAGGGTTTAGTTTAGGGAGGGGGGCCATGAGAGTTCGTAATTCCGTAGCAAAGACATGATATAATGTAATGCAGCCCAACACCCTACCCTCATAGAAGCCCTTGATAGAACCTTTTGAATGATAGAAACGCTTTACAGTAACCCTTTCAAGGAACCCCACTCTCATTAGTAAAGCTCCGATTGTAAGTTCTTGAAACCCTAAAACCCTGAAGCCCTAAACCTTAATTCCTAAACCCCTAAAAACCCCTAAACCCTAAACCCTGAGCCCTAAATTCCTAAACCCCTAAGAACCTCTAAACCGTTAACTCCTGAGCCTACAATCCTACACCAACCGTTAAGGCAGCTCTCCTCCAACCAAGCCTTGGCCGAGTTCGTGCAGCTGCCGCAGACCGCCCAGCACAGGGTTTAAGGTTTAGGGTTTGGGTGTAGGGGTATGGGGCCTGGGGAGGGGTTTAGGGGTTGAGGGGTTTGTGCGTTTATAGGTTTTTGCGGGGTTTAGGGTTTAGGTTTTAGGGGCTAGGGGGGCCAGGGCTGGCGGGGTTAGGGGTTTCGGCTTGGGGTTTTAGAGCTTTCGTTTAAAGGGATCAAGAGCTCCGTTGAAACCGCCGCCCTTGGAGTTGTGGGTTTAGGGTTTAGGGGCCTAGGCTTTAGGGTTTAGGGTTCGGGCTAAATCCTAAACCCTGACAGTCGCCTAAATCGCCATGGCTATACAGGACTTGGCTGACAACTTCCGGGACGGCTGACGGCACTGAGGGTGCAAAGGGTTGGGTTGTGGTTCCTGGTGCCCAACAGGGCTCTTTCCGGTCTCAGAAGGAACATAGGCTTTCAAAAAGAACCTAAACCCTAAACCCTAAGCGCCAAACCCTAAACCCTAAACTCTAAGACCCCTAACCCCTGAACTCCTAAACCCTAAACTCTAACCCCAAGCCCTTAAGCTCTAACCCACCAAGCCTGTGCTGAAGGCAGAAATTGAAGGTGGTCTTTGATCTCACCAAGCGCCTGAGCTCCGAGGCAAGCTCCTGGGTGCTTGCGACATGCTAACTAATAGTAAGGGTATTCAGAATAAAACTCATAATGATAGTAGTAGTAGTAGTAGTAGTAGGAGGAGGAGGAGGAGGAGCAGGAGGAGCAGGAGGAGCAGGAGGAGGAGGAAGAGGAGGAGGAGTAGTAGTAGTAGTAGTGGCAGTAGTAGTAGTAGGAGGAGGAGTAGCAGTAGCAGTAGCAGTAGCAGTAGCAGTAGCAGTAGCAGTAGCAGTAGCAGTAGCAGTAGCAGTGTAGCAATGATAGCAGCAGTAGCAGTGGTAGGAGTAGTATTAG